CCCCCCGCCCTGGCCCCCGCTCACCTCCCGACATGGCCTTCATGTCCCGGGGGAACTTGCGGCAGACGTTGTTGTAGTTGGTGCAGATGTGATGGAGGCACCAGTCGGCGAGCTGGTAGGCGCAGTGGAACTGGAAGAGATGGAGCCCACGTCAGAGCCACCACGGCATGGATCACCAGGGAAGCAGGAGGAATTCGCCCTATTCCTCCTCGGACATCCAAGACCAGACCTGGTTGTCCTCTCTGCCAGGACAGCAGCGTCCCCCAGAGCTGCATCCCTCTGCGTGGCGTCACCCAGCGCCTCGCCCCGTCCCCAGCCCCGCCAGCACGGGGTCCTGTCCTACCTGAGCCAGTTCCAGGAACACGAGCACGTCCCCATCGATGTCCACCATCATCTGCGCCGCCTCCATCAGACCGGTGACGGTGTACTGCTCTGTGGGGGAGACACGGCGTTACAGGGTAGTTGGGATGGGGTGACAGCGGGAGCACTGGGCTGCCACCAAGCTTGGGGACGGGGCGGGACACTGTCCCGCTGCAGCCGCCCTGACTCACCGGTGAGAGCCACCAGATGCGGCAGGCAGAGGCGGTTGGCGAGGATGATGAGCTTCATGTCGTCGAGGTCGGGGCTGGAGCTGAACTGCCCGGTGTAGAGGTACTCCAGCACCGCCCGCATGCAGCTCTTGCTGGTGTAAGGAAGTGCCACCTGCAAGACACGCTCCGGCTGTCACCCCGCGGCCGTCCCCGGCTGTCCCACCCTCCCGGGACGAACCCCGGGGTCCCTCCTCACCTCGTTGGTGGAGCTCTCCACGAAGGGGCCGCCGAACATCGCGGCCATCCAGTCACAGCTGGAGATGAGCAGGGGCTTGTGGGCACTGATAGCACCGTCATCCAGCACGAAGGTGACATCTGGGGACAAGCAGAGGGGTGCTACTGGGACCGTCCCCAAGACCCAGGGCTTGGCCACCTCCTTCCACAAAATGTCCCGCAGCGAGGACAGCAGAAGGAGGGGGATAGAGCCGGGCACATCCTATAATTTGTCCTAAAGGTCTTTTTCTCCAGCATCCCCCACCAGCTCAGAGGAGCTCAGGGAAGGGCCGCGACGGGGTTCCGGCTCTT